GACAGAGTGAGACTCCAACTCAAAAAAAAAAAAAAAAATTAGCTGGGCATGGTGGCGCATGCCTGTAGTTCCAGCTACTTGTAAGGCTGAGGCAGAAGGATCCCCTGAGCCCAGCAGGTCGAGGCTGCAGTGGCTGTGAGGCGTGCCACTGCACTCCAACCTGGGCAACAGAGTGAGACTCCAACTCAAAAAAAAAAAATGTGGCAGAGAGAAAGGGAAGGCAACGAGGCTATGCAACCTTCTGAGAAGCAGTTTTGTTACCAAGAAAAGCAGCAAAAACCAGCAGTAACTAGAGGTAAACAGGAGAACGGTAGAAATGTTTCATTAGGATGAGGAAAGAGACCGCAGCTTTACCCCAATTAGATAGGAACCTTTGGAAAGTGCCTTGCAGGGTCTCGGCCTTCTCATCTGCGACAGGGGCCAGCAGAGGCACCTGTCTCATGAGATGACTGTGAAGGGTGAAGGAGTCGGTGGGTACAAAGGAGAGCACAGGGCAGACATGGTACACGGTGAGAACTCAGTAGAGCTGGCCCCCGCTATTCTTGCAGCACGTTCACGTTCACGCGGCTGGGGTAGGAGAGAGGGGAGACCCCCACAGGAAGCAAACTTCTAGGCGCAGGATCACCACACGTGGCGAAAGGCCTCAGGCAGGAGAGGGGATGCCCCTCAGAAAAGGAGGGGGCTGGCGCTTATGGACACACAGGGCAGACACTGGGCAGGTGCCTCCGTTCTCCCAGAAACAGGAAGCAAGGCAGTGAGCTGAGCGTCTGGGAAGTCCTCGAGGGCAGGACCTGTGTCCCTGCCACCACTGGGTCCCAGGACCCCACACACACCTGTCTTTGGGCCTCGGTTTCCTCCTTTGTAAAATGAGGATCCAAACAGCACCGACCACTTAGGGCTGTTCACTCATTTGTCCAGCAAGTGCTTGTTGAGAGCCGCCACGGGCCAGGCACAGTTTCAGGCTTGGGCTTGGGAGATAGCACCGAAGACAGCCAGATTCTTACTCTAATGAGACTTATATTCTGCTGAAGGACTCAGACAAGAAACAGGCAGTTCCGAGAATGGTTGTCTACAAAATGATTTCTGAGACTGCGATGAAGAAAATAAAACTGGCTGGTGTAACAGGCAATGAGATGGGGTGGTGGCCCTATCATTATGCTCAGAGGAAGCCTATCATTATGCTCAGAGGAAGCCTATCATTGGAGCTGAGAGCCCAGAATGATGACAAGGACCCTGCAGGTGTGCGCCTGGGGAAGTGTGTTCCAGGTTGAGGGAGCAGCGAGTGTAAAGGCCTGGAGGTGGCCACAAGCATGGCAGGCCCAGCAGGAAGGCCCCGAGGCTGGAACAAAGTAGACAGGAGGCCATGTCATGGGGCCAGCAGAGGCCAGACTGTGCATCGTAAATCTGGATGAAGATTTGGGATTTTACAGTAAGTGTTGGGGAAAGTCCCTTGGGAGATTTGAGCAGAGTAGTAACATAATCTGATTCCTGTTTAAAAATTCCTTCTGGGGCTACCCTCTATCGGGTCACCTCCTGCTGTGGGAGTTTTTCTGTCTTCTCAATAAACTCCTACTTTCTCAAAAAAAAAAAAAAATCCTTCTGTATATTGGGTCAGAAATAGATCACAACAGCCTAGAAGCGGAAACCTCCCAAGTGTCCAAGGAGGGACACATGGGTAAACAAATATGGTCTATCCATACAATGGAACAGTATTCGGCCTTAAAAAGGAAGGGAATTCTGGCCAGGCACAGTGGCTCATATCTGTAATCCCAGCACTTTGGGAGGCAGAGGCGAGAGGATTGCCTGAACCCAGGGGCTCAAGACCAGACTGGGCACCACGGCAAGACCTCAACTCTACAATAAATCAAAAAATTAGCCAGGTGTGGTGGCACTTGCCTGTAGTTCCAGCTACTTGAAAGGCTGAGGTGGAAGGATCACCTGAACCCAGCAGATTGAGGCTGCGGTGGCCATGAGCATGCCAGTGCACTTCAGCCTGGGTGACAGAGTGAGACTCCAACTTAAAAAATGGCTAATGTGCTAAATGTTTTATGTATTTTCTCACACATAAGCATACACAAAAAGGAAGTAATAAAAGGCCAGAGGGAGACCAGCAGGAGGCAGCTGAGGTGGCTGCTAGAGAGGGAAGGGCGGTAAAATGAAAGCATGCACTCCTGCACAGGGCTTGGGGGGGGGGCTGGCATACAGCAAATACTCAGAATACAGCAGAAACTCATGGTCTTTGTGCCCGAAGTTAAGAGAACAGACATGGCCCAGTGCTCCCAAAGGAGGATGGTATGGTCAGAAAAATAGTAATAGTACTCAGTAGAGGTCCAGGTACATGGAGAAGCCCAGGCCACCACCAACTCCCAGACAAGGTGTGTGTGGCGAGAGGCCTTACCTGCGATCCAGTCATAGCCCAGGTATGGCCTGAGGCGCCAGCTCCTCTCGGGTACTGCAGACTCCTCACAGAAGGTCACTCTGGGCTGAGGAGAGAGGCAGGGGCTAAGTCAGAAGTCCTGGCCCAAAGGAAGCCCCTCCTTGGGGACAAGAAAGAGACTGGGTCTTAACTTACACCCTGACTTGGACCCTAGGACTCTGCCAAGGGCTCAAGAACTAAAAGGTAAATGTCTGGCCCCACTTTATGTTAGACTTTGAACTAGTCTGGTCTCTGAGCCTTGTTCCTTCCATCTGTATAATGGGGCTCATCACCTTCTTCCCAAAGTGCTGTCTGAGAAACTAACAGCTACCACTTATCAAACACTTGTGCTGAGCCAGACCCATCTCATGGTATCTCCTGGCAGTCTCTCAGCCTGCAAGGGAGGCTACCCATGAGCACATCAGTCAGACAGGGAAACTGAGGCTCAAGGAAACACCCATCAATGGATGCTCTGCTCTCCCATGTTACCTTAGACAGTTTGCTTCGTCGAGACAGGATGGATCTCAGAGCCTGGGTCTCCTGGGGCCTCAGGTCACCCAGTCCTGCTGAAGGCTCTGTGTCCTTCAAGTCCAAGGTCCCCAGCAAGGGTGATGAGTGGGGTCTTGGTTGGCCCAGAGACTCCTGGTACTGGCACTTGGCAGCTGGGAGAGAGGCCATCTTCAAGCTGGCTACACCACAGGGGTCACCTCGGTGGACATCCGGCGGGCTGCACGTGCTGCGCTTGCTGGGTGGGCAGGAAGTGCTGGAAGAGGCTGAGGACGTCTCTTGGGACATCTCTGAGTCAAAGTTGCTGCTGGAATCCAGATTTGACTAGAGAAGAGGAGCTAGGTCACCCAGGGCACAGCCCGCCAGAGCCTACCTACCCAACCTGAGCCAGGCACTAAGGCCTAGATCCTCCTCCTGCTAAGCCCTCAGCAGTGTCCCAAGCTGGTCTCCTCCCTCACCAGGCCTTGGTGTTCCCAACATCAGTAAAATGGGCACGTTGGACAAGATGACCTTGGAAGCCGGGATGCTGGCTTGAGGGTTTAGCAGTCCCTTCCTCGTCCCCTGGGGGGGTCCCCAAGGTGGGCACCCACCTCTGCGGCAGCCTTGGCCACTGACCGCTGCACGGCTACCTGCCCAGCCCACAGCTGTCTCAGGAGCTCCAGGTTGAGCAGCCGTAGCTGCACCAGGTCCTCAGTGTCCACCATCCCAGGCACACCTTCTGACTTCCCACAGCAAGTGTCACTGGCCCTGGGCCACAGGATGTCCTCAGGGCTGGGTTCCAGGCCCAGCTCTCCTACCTGAAGTCAAGACAATATGACAGGGCTGAAGAGGATTCCTGCAGTCCCAGAGGCCTGAGTTCAAACCCCTACTCAGATACTCTTTTTTTTGTTTGTTTGTTTTTGTGTTTGTTTTTGTTTTTGTTTTTTGAGTTGGAGTCTCACTCTGTTGCCCAGACTGGAGTGCAGTGGCCGCTCCCGGCCACCGCAGCCTCGACCCGCTGGGCTCCGGCGATCCTTCCGCCTCAGCCTTCCGAGTAGCCGGAATTACAGGCGTGCACTACCACGCCTGGCTAATTTTTTTATTTTACTGTAGAGATGAGGTCTTGCCTGCCCAGGCGGGTCTTGAACCCGCGGGCTCGGGCAATCCACTCACCTCAGCTTCAACTGTGTAGCCTCAGGCAAGTTATTTAAACCTCTCTGTGCCTCAGTTTCCTCAGCTGCCAGATAATAGCAGTATCTACCTTGTAAGGTTGTTGTCAGGATTAAACAAAGCATGTAAACTTAGTACAAGGCCTGGTATACAGTAAGCATTCAATACATGTCTATAATTACCTACCAGGGTGTGTTTCCTTACCTGTCAAAATTGAATCTTCCCTTAACAAGCTTAACTGTAAAATTAGACTAGTCTAATTTGCAGAACACAATTAATGCAAGTTTGCAAATGTAAAGCTTTCTAACTTGTGAATTCAACACCAATCAGGCTTCTGAAGAAATTCTCCCCTCTTGTCTGTCCTTCCTTCCTCCTTCTCTTTCTTTTTACACTGAAGAAACACTGGTAAAAGCAACTTAAATCAACCTTCCATATGACCCAGCAAATATCCCTTATGGGAATATACCCAGAGGAACTCAAATCACTTTTATAATAAAGATACCTGCACGTGCATGTATATTGCAGCATTATTCACAATAGCAAAAACAGGAACCAACCGTGCTGCCCATCAAAAGTGACTGGATAAAGAAAATGTAGCCAGGCTCGGTGGCTCAGCCTGTAATCTCGCGCTTTCCGAGGCTGAGGTGAGTGGATTGCCTGAGCCCGCAGGTTCGAGATCCGCCTGGACAACTTGGCGAGACCTCATCTCTACAATAAATCAAAATTTGCCGGGCATGGTAGCGCGCCCCTGTAGTTCCAGCTACTTGGAAGGCTAAGGCGGAAGGATCGCCAGAGCCCAGCAGGTCGAGGCTGCGGTGACAGGGAGTGGCCACCGCACTCCAGTCTGGGCGACAGAGTGAGACTCCAACTCAAAAAAAAAAAGAAAATATGATCTATTTACACGATGGAATATTATGCAGCCATAAAGAAAAACAAAATTATGAACTTTGCAGCAACCTGGACGGAATTCGTCTATAATACTCAGTGATTTATCACAGAAACACAGATCTGAGTACCACAAGTACTCACTCATAAGTAGACCCTGAACATTTATCATCATACTATAAAAAAGGGATTGGCAGTAGTGGGACATTGCCGGGAACGGGGGGAGGGGACCCATAACATCAATAAGGGTACCCACACTTTATCTGTATGATTACCACGTATGTACCCAACCTTCATCTGTACCCCACATTTCTAAAAGAAAATAATTATTTTTTACAAAGCGCAACTTGCTCCAAGTCACATAGCTAGCAAGTGGCAAGGCCAAGATCTGAACCATCACCTGGCTCCAGGGTCCAGGGCAGTGTGGGGAGGGGCCTGGGAAACTTCCCCTCCTTCTCCCAGTCCGTGGCCTCCCAGGGATCTCAGGACCGGCGGCAGAGGCTGGTGCAGACAGAAGCCGGCCATCCTGGAGCCTCCTCCCGCCACAAACCCTCCCGGAAGGGCGTGGGGGAGGGGATGTGGACAAGGGGGACCAAGGAGTCCCGGCCCAGCGACTCGGCCACATCCCTGTGGTCAGAGGGTCTCCGCTTTCGTGCGAGTTAACGAGCACAGCCTGCTCGGCCCTCCTCCGGGGATGCCAGGCGAAGGCGCCGTTCGAGACAACGGGCCACAGAAGGAAGAGGCAGAGCGGGCACGCCGGGAAATGGAGACTCAGCCTCCTCCCTCTTTCCCACCGCGGCCCCAGAGCCCCCCATGAAGGCGCAGGTGGTGCCTCTCGCCGAGCCCTCCTCCCAGCCGGG